AATTACACTTTTTTTTTTTTTGATACAGGGACCTTCCGGTTTCCGGATCCACAGGGAACCGACTAATCCGGAATCGAGCCGGGAACAATTACACGTTTAATTCGATAATATTGTGTTTTTGTGTGTATCTGTTTAATTAATTATAAATTGGCTTTCTATGTTAGTATTTATTTTGGCTTGACTTTTAGATTTCGTGTGTCTCCAAAAGTCGTGTAGGATTTTGGTATATTAGTATTTATATCTGAAATATATTATAAGAATATAAAGTATTATATTTCCTTTTGTTTTACAACTATCAATTTATTCAATTACCTAGTACATATAAGTATCGGGAGATGCTATGGTCCTGTTACAAAACCATTCCATTGATATTTATAACTATCAGATCAACTATCTCTGACGGTCACATAATAATTTAACGGTTATAAATCTCGACAGAATTGTTCCGTGATAAGACCGTAAGGTCCGTAACATTTCCAGTAAGTATCTTACTAGTTATTGGTATTATTGTATAATTACGTGCCAAGAGTCGGCAAGCAAGAAAAGAACAAATATGACTTAATAATATTATGGTCGTTAATTTTTTATTTTATTTATATTTTTGATTGTAAGTGACATTTTAAGCAAATATATTTAAGCAATTTCATTTTCTCTCCATACTCACACACTGCATTCATGCAATGTAACACATCATTAAGTTGGGCATGAAGATTGAAGGGACCATCATTCAAGTCGTGAGTGCGACGTATTCATTGAGCTAGCAGAGTCGAGTTTGACGCGTTCACTAAAAGAGCCGATAAATTAACTCGAGTTCGACTTTTTATTATCAATATTAACGAGTCGAACTTGAATCGAGCAATACAAAACTATATAAACAATCTTATTTTTTTTTAGCCCAACAAATCAAGTTGACCTTTGACTGGTTGATTAAACAAGCTCAAGTAGAGCCGACTCGAGCTCACGTGCGACTCGTTTTTGCTTAACAACTATAAGCTCGAGCTTTTATCAAGCTTAGCATTAACTGAACGCCTCGATAAACAATCTAGAATTCGACTGACCTATTAATATTAATGAGCCAAACTCGAGCTTTAGAATTTTTTTTTTGAAGAAAATCATATTTCTTACCTTAGCAAGCCGGACTCGAACTGAGCTGAGCCTAAACGAACTTTCGAGCTACTCGTTATCTTAACAACTTTAGGGTCGAGTCTTTATCGAGCTAAGTTATTAATTAAGTGAGCAAATAAACAAGTTCGAGCTAGACTCGTTTATTAATTTTAATGAGTGAAACACGAGCTAATCAAACTTTAGAAAATTACGTAAAAATGTCCTATTTTGGAACCTTAACAAGCTCTAAGACATTAACAAGCTCTAAGACATTTTTATTCTTCTAATATTATCCAACTTTTCTTTTGAATTATTATGATTCTTACAAAATATAATTATTTAATCTTTTTCCCATTGAAGAAACGGGGGTGGACGGGTGCTGTCCTATGGACATGAAGCGCACCAAAACAGAGTGAGCGTAGATGGGCCTTAATGAATATCCATCCTAAAACCAATTGGTGGTAGGAGGAGTAGCCCACTAGGCTTATAAGTTAGACTTATTTTCTCTGTATAAACGATGTGTGACAACTCACAAGTATATTTTTTAACAGACCATCCGGGAAAGATTATATTATATATCTAATGCAACTATATAATATGTAATTCTAACATTTACCAACTTACAATTGTATGAAATAAATGTCCCACTCCCATACTATGACTGGTAAATAAATAATACAAAAATACAGCTTGGCTCTAGCCGAGACCATAATTAATGGCGTGGCTATAGTGTTAGAGCCAGCCAGCGTCCAAAAGAGCAAAACTAAAAAAGCAGGCCAATTGAATGTTAGCATAGTCATTCAACTAACTATTGTAAACACTCCTCTCACAACTGCCCAACATCATCTTCAAAAACAGACAAAATCCATATAAAATCTCCTCAATCTTGAGGGAGAGCTTTGCCGCCTTTGTGGTCCTACCCGGCTCGATTCCGGATTAGTCGATTCTCCTGTGGATCCGAAAACCGGAAGGTCTCTGTACCCAAAAAAAAATATATAAATAATAATAATAATAATAATAATAATAATAATAATAATAATAATAATAATAAATTAGAAATAGAATATTGTCAACCACATACCATTTTCATTTTCCAACACCACCAATTACAAATTGGTCATCATCATAACCAAATTGCTCCTCATCAATCCTTTTTAAACCCCCCCTTTCCCTCCATATAATACAACTAGCTAGCTCCTCATCACAAACATTGAACCACATAACATCTCTCTCTCTCTCTCTCTCTCTCTCTCTCTATAGAGATTAAAAAAACAATGGGAGCCCATCGACATTTTGACCCGATATCAAAGTGTAGCACGGACGGCCGGTCGAGCCAGACAGTGGCGGCAGACCTAGACGGCACGCTCTTGCTCTCGACTAGCGCTTTTCCTTACTACATGCTCGTGGCCTTAGAAGCCGGCAGCCTTTTCCGAGCCGTGCTACTATTGGCTTCCGTCCCTATAGTCTACTTCGTCTACCTATTCGTCTCGGAGGCACTCGCGATCCAGACACTGATCTTCGTCGCGTTCTCGGGCCTCGAGATCCGCGAAATCGAACTCGTGGCCCGGTCGGTCCTGCCTAGGTTTTACGCCGAGGACGTGAACCCTGACACGTGGCGCGTTTTCGACTCGTTCGGGAAGAAGTGCATCGTGACCGCGAACCCTAGGATCATGGTGGAGCATTTCTGCAAGAACTATTTGGGCGCGGACAAGGTGCTCGGGACCGAGTTGGAGGCGACGTGCTCGGGACGGGCCACGGGCTTTTTGAGAAAACCGGGCGTGCTCGTCGGGGCACACAAGAGGACGGCAGTCTTGAGGGAGTTCGGGCCGGGTAATTTGCCCGATTTGGGCCTTGGAGATAGAGAGACGGATCACGACTTCATGTCCATATGCAAGGTAATTAATTAGTTTGACTAACTATTTTTTTTTTTTAATATAGGTATATATATAAAATGTGAGAATGGAAATGCATAATTAATTTGATTTAAATTGATTTTAGTTGTGTGGATATATAAAGTGATGGTAGATTTAAATTGTTTTTTTTTTATTGATTTAAATGTCCATAGGCTGATTTTGTTTGGTAGAGTTGGTGGCGGTTTGGACATAATTGTCTCTCATTTTTTTATTTTTTTGGGTCCCTTTTTGCTTAAAGGCACTTTGTATGTCCAAGGCTAGCATTCATATCATATGAGTCCCATGCATACATATTTCATGCTAGTTAGTTGAGAGCGTAAATCCGGATATTACTTTGGTGTTTTTTTTTTTTT